TAATGAAGGGCAGTCAGCGGCAGAGCTATGGGATGTCCATCAGCGAGGACAGCTCCGCTTCAAGCTTGGTGGTAAAATGGCGGCCGCGAGCGCGGGCTGCGCCGACGTTCCCGCCCTTTGTAAAATGCCGGCCGAGTCGCTCCATCCAGACGACTCTGCCACTCCCTCTTTCGCCGCAGCAGATAAAGGACGCCATCTGAAGAAGCACCTCCAACGATGGCGAGGCGCCGCGTGCACCGACGGCGCTCTTCTCCGCTGGCAGCGCCTCCGCTCCGTCGTCGGCGGCCGTGGGCGGAATCAGCTCTTCATTGTCTTCATCGTCCAATGCCCGTGTATGAACTCTGCGATGTGTAGACATGACTGTGTACCGCTAGCTATTTCCTAGCAAGATGGCCACTACCGACACTAGTTGTAGGGAGTCCAACTGAGTCGCAGACATTCTTTTGGGAGCAACACGTTTTATTAAACTCTTAGCACAACATACTCGAGGCTATTAACACAACACACTCTCGGGTGGTGACCACCCAACTAACCACGCTATGGCGGAACTAGACACGGTTCCACTATCCCGGTCCGGACCACAAGCTGGGTCCCGGACCGCGTGGCTGGAAGCTTCTTCAAGCTTGACGTGGATCTGCTGCCTCTCAAACAGTAAGAACCCCGAGCCCCTCACAGGGCCCCACTTATATCGGGCTGGGCTGGGGCTGGCTCCGCCTCTTGCCCGCCCACCTTCTCGATCTCTCTCGAGAGTTCTTCTCGGACCATGTGACCACCCATTGGCCCCCTCCACCGGTGGCCCCCCTCCAGTATCATCCGGTCACATGTCCCCAGGTCAGCCAGAGTATCATGCCCCTCAACATAACCCTAGCTGGCTGACACTCTCTCGCTCTCTCAACGGGAGCCCGCACCGCACGCTGTGCGTGGTGCCACCACGCTGAACCAGCGCTCACCCAAGCCCCCACTAGGGCTGGTACTACATCCCGTGTCTGGAGTGTACACCCAACAGTATACACCCCGCCGTGGCCTCGCAGGCCCGGCACCACACAGTGACATTCCCAGTCATTACACACGCATTGCTGAGTCGTCAACTCCTTGCCTCTATGAGGCAGAGAGCTGATTTTCTTTGTTTGCAAGCCGACCAAGCCAATGCAACAGGCGAGCCTCTGCCATTGTGCCTTTGTTTAATATGGGAATGCGAATGGGCAGATGAATGCGCGGCTCGACGGGTCGTTGGACCCCGCACATCTGATCGATCTCCCGTGGTGCCACGGGCTCTGTACACCCGTGAGGGAGAGAGGGCAAGGTCGGGGTCCCCGCGGTGGCGAGATATTAACTACTTCGCCTGGTGTACAGGAAGTCAAAATCTTTTCTTTTACCGGGTAAGGCCCACTGAGCTATACAGCTCTTTTGCAGAAGCGACCTATGTGAGTCTATGTATGGGTCTCCGAGTTCCTGGGTCTCTATGTGAGTCATCTGTCAGTCCCTGTACGTGAGTCTATGTGTGAGTCCCTGGGTCTCTATGTGCGTTTATGCGTGGGTCTCCAAGTCCATAGGTTTATATGTGGCTTATCGTGTCTGTCTGTCTGTGTGCGTGTGTGTCTGCGTGTCTGTCTTGCTCGGATATCTTGTGACCTTTTAAACTGACAAACCATGGCGTTTACGGTTAAAAAAGTACACGGATACCATGACGTATGCCCCGGGACGAAAAAGCGCTTTTCGTATTTCACATCAGTCAACTTAAAAGTAGTTAAATTAACAATTTAGTGCTATTAATTATTATATTACTACGCTGGTAAAATAAAGAAAAGTTTAAATACATAGTTTCACAAAAATGACTCGGCCAGTGTTTCTATCGGCGGAGTCTCTAATAGCCACGCGACTTCACACTCGAGTCCCATTCGTGTCGGATCAATTCTACAGGGACTCATCTACTCACGAAGGCGTTAGGTTCCAGTGATCTGTTCGTAAGTCGATTTGTTCGTCAACCCAACTTTACTCCTGTCGATTCCAAACACTGTTGTACGGCGTGTACATTAAACATGGAGAATGGCTTTTAAAGCTGTACAATCTCCTGTAGCTGTAGATGCCGCTGGTTTTTCACGTTCTGCAGAAGTAGATGCCATCACCGCCATCTATTGCGTAGCAGGTGAACTTACGACTCTCGGTCCGAACAGGCAACTGGACATACGGACATGTTTGTTCGTATCTCTGAAAGTTCGTTAATCGAATGTACGTAAGCAGAGGAGTCCATGTACATGAGTTTTCATGACCCCACGAACACACAAGGACGGATGGACGGACCGACAGGGTGTAATGCATAGCTAAGAACCCTCTCTCTTGCCTGTCTGTAAGGGGGAGGGGGGCAAGGAGGGGTGTGGGGAGGGGTGGGGGGGGGGCACGATTACGTAATCACGTGTGAATATTTACATGGTTTGGGGGTAAGGTTGGCTACGTACGGTGCGAAAGAAGTTCAACATACATACGAATACGTGTGATGCTTGCTAACAGCACTTGCCCCAACAGACTGTTATCGGAATACGGGGTATCTATATCAATTGTGTGTACGTGTGTGTGTTTTTGTTGGGTGCGTGTGACTAAATGCATTCGTCTGTGCAAAATAAGTTAATCAGACACAACACCATCATCGTCATCATCATCATCCAAATCATCATCCTCATCAACATTGGCAGCAGGAGGTGGAGTTACTGAGAGGTCAGACACGCCGAGTGGCTCAGAGGTCAGACACGCCCAGTGGGTCAGAGGTCAGACACGCCGAGTGGGTCAGAGGTCAGACACGCCGAGTGGCCCAGAGGTCAGACACGCCGAGTGGGTCAGAGGTCAGACACGCCCAGTGGGTCAGAGGTCAGACACGCCGAGTGGGTCAGAGGTCAGACACGCCGAGTGGCCCAGAGGTCAGACATGTCCAATGGCTCAGAGGTCAGACACGCCGAGTGGGTCAGAGGTCAGACACGCCGAGTGGGTCAGAGGTCAGACACACCCAGTGGGTCAGAGGTCAAACACGCCCAGTTGCTCAGAGGTCAGACGCCGAGTGGCTCAGAGGTCAAACACTGCGAGTGACTCAGAGGTCAAACACGCCCAGTGGGTCAAAGGTCAAACACGCCCAGTGGGTCAGAGGTCAGACACGCCGAGTGAGTCAGAGGTCAGACACGCCGAGTGGGTCAGAGGTCACACACGCCCAGTGGCTCAGAGGTCAGACACGCCGAGTGGGTCAGAGGTCAGACACGCCGAGTGGGTCAGAGGTCAGACACACCCAGTGGGTCAGAGGTCAGACACGCCCAGTTGCTCAGAGGTCAGACACGCCGAGTGGCTCAGAGGTCAAACACTGCGAGTGACTCAGAGGTCAAACACGCCCAGTGGGTCAAAGGTCAAACACGCCCAGTGGGTCAGAGGTCAGACACGCCGAGTGAGTCAGAGGTCAGACACGCCGAGTGGGTCAGAGGTCACACACGCCCAGTGGCTCAGAGGTCAGACACGCCGAGTGGGTCAGAGGTCAGACACGCCGAGTGGGTCAAAGGTCAGACACGCCGAGTGACTCAGAGGTCAGACACGCCGAGTGGCTCAGAGGTCAGACACGCCGAGTGACTCAGAGGTCAAACACGCCCAGTGGCTCGGAGGTCAAACACGCCCAGTGGGTCAAAGGTCAAACACACCCAGTGGGTCAGAGGTCAGACACGCCGAGTGGGTCAGAGGTCAGACATGCCGAATGGGTCAGAGGTCAGACACGCCCAGTCGCCTAGAGGTCAGACACGCCGATGAAGGCCGGCAAGGCGCACCAGGGGGTGGGTGGACAGCACGACCACGCCAGTCGCCGTTGTGGACTCCCCAATGCTGATGTTTACACACCGCACCAGGTACTTATTTAAGGCTGAGTCGACCTAGGGTGAGGCCTAGCACCGGTTCACATGTTCGCCCCATACACCAAAGACAAAGATCCCCCGTATAGCCTTCAACAGACTTTTGGGGCAAGCGCTGTTTGCGAGTAGCAACTATGAAGGCCGGCACGGCAAACGAGGGCCAACACCACCACCACCACCACATGGCGTCCACGACAAAGCTACTCTCTCCCTGTCTCTGCCTCCCCACCACTCCCCCCGTCTCCACTGGACATCTGTGAAAAGGAGTTTAATAGCTCTCTCCCACCCCATCTCCCCCATCTTTCCCACCCCATCTCTCTCATTCCATCTGCCCCCCCCCCCCCACATCTCTCCAACCCATCTCTGACCCAATCTCCCCCCCCCATCTCTCTCTCCATCTCTCTCACCCCATCTATCCCCCCATCTCCAACCCCATCTCTCACCCCATCTATCCCCCCAACTCTCTCCCCATCTCTCCAACCCATCTCTGCCACCCTATATCTCCCACACCGCCCACCCCCATATCTCTCCCCATCGCTCTCCTCCCATCTCTCTCGCCCCATCTCCCACCCCATCTCTCTCCCATCTCTCACCCGCCTCCACCCCATCTCTCCCCACATCTCTCCCCCAATCTCTCTCCCCATCTCTCTCTCCCCATCTATCTCCTCCCATCTCTCCCCCCATCTCTCTCCCCATCTTCCACACCATCTCCCACCCCATCTCTCACCCCATCTCTCCCCCATCTCTCTCCCCATCTCTCTCTCCCCATCTCTCTCCTCCCATCTCTCCCCCCATCTCTCTCCCCATCTCTCTCTCCCCATCTCTCTCCCCATCTCTCTCTCCCCATCTTCCACCCCATCTCTCCCCCCATCTCTCTCCCATCTCTCTCTCCCCATCTCTCTCTCCCTATCTCTCTCCTCCCATCTCCCACCCCATTTCTCCCCCCATCTCTCTCCCCATCTCTCTCTCCCCATCTCCCACCCCATCTCTCCCCCCATCTCTCTCCCCCATCTCTCTCTCCCCATCTCTCTCCCCCCATCTCCCACCCCATCTCTCGCCCCATCTCTCTCCCCATCTCTCTCCCGATCTCTCTCCCCCCCGCCTCCACCCCAACTCTCCCCGCCGTCAGTCGAGCTCCGCGGCCGAGCCCGTCCGCCTGTCCCCGGTGGCGCCCCTCAGGCAGAGGACGTCGCGGAAGGCGGCGCGGAAGTGGCGGTTGAGCAGCGCGTATAGGAACGGGTTCACCGCCGAGCTCGCGTAGCCCATCCACATGGTGACCTCCAACGCCACGGCGACGGCGACGCTCGTCACGCCGGGCGTCGTGGTGACCACCACCACGAAGGGCAGCCACGCGAACATGAAGACGCCGATGATGGCACCGAGGGTCTTGGCCGCGTTGTGTTCTCGTTTCATATTGGACCACGCGGATTTGCTGTTGCTGTTGCTGGTGGTGGTGTTGGCTTGGATCTGCCGCGCCTGCCTGCGAGCCACCACGTAGATCTTGGCGTAGACGCCGATGACGGTGACGAGCGAGACGAGGTAGGTGGTCTCGCCGAAGAAGAAGTGGAAGCCCACGCTCACGAAGAACGAACAGTCGTCCGGGCAGCCCACGCGCTCGATGACGCCGCGCGACCACGTGGGCACCAGGCTGATGAGGGTGGGCGCCGTGAAGAGGGCCGCTCCGAGCCAGCAGAGCACCAGCATCAGCCCCAAGGTGCGGTTCGTGACCCTGCGGCGGGCGGGCGGGCGGGCGGGGTGGTTGGGTTGGGTGAGCGGCGGCTCAGCGGCTGGTGCGGCTGCGTTATGGGAACCCGGCAAGTTCTGGGATCGACTCGTTAATCTCAACCCCCATACCCCCCAAGCAAGGCCGTAATTATAATATATATTGGGGGGGGGGACACACATCCCCCCCCCCCAATAAATATTCAAATATGCTCAAAATGTCCCCTCCCCCCAATATATTGCAATAAAATAGATTTCTATTCATATGATTGTGGTTATGGTTGTACTTTATTAATCCCGAATCTCTGCTATGACATACAATGAAACAAGAAAAGGTATAAAAAAGAAAGAACTGAGCAATTTAATACAATACACGATTAGACATTATTGTAAAAAGAGTATGTGGGTTATTGTATTTTAAAAAGTCAATCCTATGTTAGTGATTTTTAAACGATTTTAGGCAGGAAATGGCAGGAAATTCGTTTCAAATTTAGAATTTTTTTCATGGGGCGGGGGGGGGGGACCCCCAGACCCCCTGGAAGATTTTGTCCCCCCCAATGTTGACTCCACGGCTACGGCCTTGCCCCCAAGACAAAGATCCTCCGTGCAGCCTATGAACAGACTGTTGGCGAAAGTGCTTTCGGTGAGTGCCTATGAAGGCCGGGCACGGCAAACGAGGTGATTGGTGAGCCATCACCACGCCCTGGAAAGTGCGTTTAGAGCTGCTACGTTTACAGCGGCTCTACATTTACACGCGTCGATGTGCCACTTCGTTGAGCTATCATTTGTGGCCAGGTCGCTTCTGAAGAAGAGCGACATCGCTCAGTGGGCCTTACCTGGTCAAATTAAAATCGATTCGTTTTAGGAATGGGAGTCTCACAGCATCTCCACACATCTGGGTTACAGGCAGCCACGTGCAGCCGCGTAGCCACCAAACAAACAAAGACAAAGATCCCCGTGTAGCCTTAGCAGACTGTTGGGGCAAGTGCTGTTAGCGAGCATCTATGAAGGTCGGCATGGCACACAAGCGGCTGCCTTGCTTCCCGAGTGGCGAAGTTTACACATCGCATTATGTTACTAATTTTTAGGCTGAGTCGACCGAGGGGAGGCCCAGGTCCGAATCAGATAATCGTCACTAGTGTTGGTGGCCGTGAGCGGGAATCGAACTCGGGACCGGTTCTAAGCTCGTCCGATATCTGAATCGGTTCCCCGGCTTCTCCCTCCCCCCAAGGTCGAATCGAATCGCCGTTAAACTATCCCGGCAACAAGAATAAGAGTCGGTGGAGAAGCCCTTGGGCGTTGCAGCAGCGACGTTTTGAAACAACCCAACGCACCCCCTCCCTGTCAAAAACTTATTCCGAAGCTGAAAACTGGTGCTGGATAGAACCGCATTGGCAAACTGTGATTTGTAACCCTGATGCTGACCACCGACAGTTCTGTTTTAAATGTGCAACGTTATTGAGAGACTGCTGTCGTCTGGAACTGTTGTTGTTTTACTGCCTTGACAAATATTGCATTTAGTTATTGAAAAATCGCAGGAATGTATGTACTCGTGCAGTTTACATATTTTGTATGCTCATGTATTTAGTTAAATGTAATAACTTGCTTACCTATCATACACTTTTAACTTTGTATTGTGGCTGTAACTTCATGGTTAGCCCCTACTGGACATCTGCGAAAAGAGCTTTATGTTTGGGTATTTGTATTGCTTGTCGTTGTAAAACTAAAAACGATTAAAATAATAAAGATTTTTCTTTTCCCAGGTAAAGCCCCGCTGGGCAAAACGTAGTTTATTCTCAGAAATGATAGCTCAACGAAGTGGCTTATCGCATCGGAATGTATAGCGGGCAAATACTCTAAACGCGCGTTTCTCAATGTGGAGGGGAAAACCGGAGGACCCCGAGGAAAAATACACGCGAGCACGGGGAGAGAGACACACACAGACTCCAAATATACAGCAGCAGGCGTCAGGGTCTAGATTGAACCCACGACGACCTCCTGTATACCAGGCGAGGTAGTTAACATCTCCTAAAAAGCTTCATAGCTCATCGGGGTTTTCCCAGCCCAAATAAATATTCAGTTTCCGAGCGTCCCCCACCCCCCCAATGAGCGCCCTGTTTTCGAGCGCGTTAAACACGCGAAGGTGGGGAGACAAAGGCGGCCGGGCGTAGCGGCGGCTTGCGGTGGTACGGGTGGAGGGCGTTTTCGGAAAAAGTGCAGTGCCATTCGGTAACGCTGCGGTCTTAAAACGACAGCGACAGAAGATCATCGATTACATTATCGATCATCGATTTTCGAAGCAGCCGGATCATTATCCGGCGGCTTCGGGGGGAGGGGGAAGGGGGGCACCGGATATTCATGATGACCACATCGTTAATTTAATTTAAATAGCAAATGTTTTGCACATTTTTAACAACATGTTTTTACGCGTTGTTATGTATATGTTTATTTTTTGTGTGCTTTACATGCGTTTACTGTGTGAAATCGGCCTAAATAGCTATCAATTCCGGTTCAGTGATTCTGCACTTGCTCTATTACGATAGTACTATATCGCCTTTAACTTTTAAGAACGACTGGGTGTGTAAGGTTAGCGATTCGTCGTATTGTCTGGCCAGTATAGCAAATGGAAAATACAATTATACTATGCAAGTAAAAAATTGTGTTTTAATATTTACGTGTTTTTATTTAAATTTAGGGCCCCTTTATAACATATGCTACAGGCCCCGCACTAGCTCAATCCGGCATTGGCTGTGAGTTCGTACCTCACCGCTCTTGTTTCAACAGCAACATCAACAACAACATCAACAACAACATCAACAACAACATCAACAACAACATCGCTGGAATGGGGGTTACAGCCTCCGGAGCGGTTTCGCCGGATCAGCCCGGCACCGCCGGATAAAGTTGGACGCCGGATAATCGATGCCTATATTGTGTATACTGTGTATTTGTATACGGTATATATATATAACATTTATAATATATAATCGTCCCTTTATAGCACACGGTGAGCTATGAAGAAGGGCCGTCGCCCGAAACGTCGCCTATTATTTATTTTCTAAAAATGCCCATTTAAATGTTTATATATATGAGAGTTGTAATCGATATATTGATATACTTGTTAAACAATACACGAACACATTCAGCATATATTTTATATTCTTTCGGGCAATTTTCCCTTCCTTCAAATCACATGGCTCTCTGAAGAAGCGCCACTGCTCGGAACGTCGCCTACTAAATGTACGTTTAACGTAATGGCCCATGTATATATGCATGTTTGTATTTTATATACATAGATAATTTGTGATATATATTTACATATATACATTTATAGATTGTTTTAGGGATTGGTCATTTCATCATAGCACCAGTGGCCTTAAACGTGGCCTATTCGTCCTTTGTAAGGCCACAAAGACAAAGGCCCCCCGTATAGCCTTTATCAGACTGTTGGGGCAAGTGCTGCTAGCGGGTAGCACCTATGAAGGCCGGCACGGCGCGGAAGGGCCAGCACCGCGCCCGGCCGCCTTTGTCTCCCTCGCGGCGACGTCTACACACCGCACTAGTTACTCATTTGAGGCTGAGTCGACCTAGGGCAGGCCCAGCAACGGTTCAGCGGTCACTGGATGTTGGTCGTCGTGAGTGGCTATCGATCTTGGGCCGCCGGGTTCAGAAATGCAGCGCGCTAACCGCTGCACCACCGCTCCCCCCCCCCCCCCCCCCCCACACACACACGCGGTGGTGTTGTTACTGACGACCCTATTGAGTTTGTTGTTTTTGTTGTAGTTTGACAGTGGTTGTTGTACCCAGTGGTGTAATTACGACATTATCAGTGACGTAGTGACGGCAATGGGTCAGGTGGCAGTCCCGATGTTGGGATCTGTCTCGCACAGGGGCACCTGGAGGCGATTATGCATCGCGGCCTCCTCTTGCTCCAACAGCATCATCGTTACGCTCACGGTCTCCATCATGTAACGCTGTGGGTGGCGCTCCTTCTTCGCAAAGATGCAACCGCTACAGTTCCGTAGTGGTAACCTCTTTGTAATATAATTGACGCCCGTATCGAATGCAAAAAATATCCCAGAAACGGAGTTCTACGTCCAATGCTATTTTACTCAGGTTACACGGTGCTTGTCAAAGGGGCCCCAACTCGTAGCTTTGGCCCCACGCTAGTGGCGCGCCACGGTGGCGAGGAGATGTTAACTACCTCGCCTGGTATACAGGAGGTCCGTAGGATCGAAGCCAGCCCTGACGCCTGCTGCTGTATATTTTGAGTGTGCGCGTGTCTCTCTCCCCGGGGTCGCGTGGATTTTTCTGCAGGTCCTACGGTGTTTCCCTCCACATTAAAAAAACCCATGAGTACTATGTATGCTGGACTTCTTTCGCACAGTACTTAACCGACCGTGGTAATGTAAAAACATATTAACTATTTTTATTTTTCCAGGTAAGGCCCATTGAGTTGTTTTGCTCTTTTTCAGAAGCGACCTGGCCACAAGTGGCAGCTCAACGAAGTGGCTTATCACGTGGACATTTATAGCAGCCAAACAGTCTACTAAACGCCTGACCTTAATTCTAAACGTAGAGGTCGCTTCTGATATATATAAAAAAGATCTACATAGCTCAGCGAGCCTTACCTGGTAAATACAAAAAACATCGGTTTAGTTATACTCTTTGGTTCTTTCGGTAAAGTCACGTAGGTATAAAATCAAATAAATCACGACGTTTCGGGCTTGTGTTGCGCCCGAAACGTCGTGATTTATTTCATTTTCTACCTCCGTGACTTTACCGAAAGAACCAAAGAGTATATGGATTCCTGCAGTCACGAAAGCTTCGAATCACGATTGTTTTAGTTCTAGCTGCGCTACTGGTGCTTGCGCCGCTGCCGGCTGCAGGCTCTTTACCGTGCCGGGTAGCGGAGCGGGTCGCAGATGGCCACGTGCCGGTCGTAGGCGATGGCGCCCACGTGGAAGATCGACGAGGTGGTGAGCGTGTAGTCGACGAAGTACGCCACGTGGCAGAGCACCTCGTCGAGGAACCAGCACTGGTAGACGGTGCCCAGCATCCTCACGGGCATGATGAGGAGGCCGATGAGGAGGTCGGACACGGCGAGCGAGAGTGCGAGCGCGTTGGCGCGCGTGCGCAGCTGGCGCGACGAGGCGACGGCGCCGACGATGAGGAGGTTGCCGAGGACCGTGGCCACGATGGAGACGGTGATGATGGTGAGGATGATGGAGCGGTCCACGGCGGGGAGGTACGGGCCCGTGCAGTTGAGGTTGTTGAATTGGACCTTGCAGCTGCTGCCGCCGCCGCCACCGCCGCTGCTGCTGCTGTTTCGGGTCATGGTGACTAGAGGTTGTTGAGAGGTGGTGGAGGTGGTGGAGGTGGCTATGCAGGTGGCGGGGCGGGGGGGGTTGTGAGCGGTGGGGCAGTGGTTAGCGCGCTGCGCTACGAACCCGGCGAACCGGGGTCGACACATCGCTCACGTCAACACGAGTGACGGTTATCTGAACCAGGCATCGCCTAGGTCGACTCAGCCTGAAATGAGTACCCGGTGCAGCGTGTAAACGTCGCCACTAGAGAGACAAAGGCGACCGGGCGTGGTGTTGGCCACCCAGCCCCTCGTGTGCCGTGCCGGCCTTCATAGGTGCTGTTCGCTAACAGCACTTGCCCCAACAGTCTGTTACATGCGTTTACGGGGAAATCTTTGCCTTGTTTTGTATAGGTGAGAGATTTGGTGGTTGAGTGGTTTGGTGAGTGAGGTAGGTGAGCAGCAAGCGCTGGCAATAATTGCCCGAGCTCTGCGGTCCTCTATGTAGGTGAAGGGGCTATCGATCGAGTGGGGAGTGTGTTCACACGTGCGGGAGAAAACCGGAGCACCCGGAGAAGATTCACGCGTGCAATGGGTCAACGCTCTTATCCCGTACGTATGGAACAGATGGAGATTAGTACGCATTTGCTGTACCGCCTCCTTCCGGCGAGCCAGGGTGCATGGCATCGCTACTCACACGGGAAGGGAGTTCATCTGTCTGATCCACCAACACTGAGTGTGTGCTCCACCCACCCTCACACACTCACCTATCCACCCACCCACACACTCACGCACCCATCTACATACACACCTATTCACCCACCCACACACTCACCTACCCACCTACCCACACACTCACCTACCCACCTACCTACACGCTCACCTACAGACTTACCCAACCACTCACCTACACAAACATTCACCTACCCACATACTCACAAACGTACACACTCACGTACCCACCTACGCACACAACCACCTACTCACCTAACCACACGCTCACCGACCCACACAATCACCTACCCAAACATTCAACTACTCATATATTCACCTACTCACACACTCACCGACCCACATACCCACAGACCCACCTACCCACACACTCACCTACCCACGTGATAAGCCACTTCGTTGAGCTATCATTTGTTGCCAGGTCGCCTCTGAGAAGACCCAACAGGTTAGTGAGCCTTACCTGGTGGGGCAAGTGCTGTTAGTTGTTGTTGTTGTGAGCGAGTGTCTATGAACGTCGGCACGGCACACGAGGGGGATGGGTGGCCAACACCACGCCCGGCCTCCTTTGTCTCCCCAGTGGTGATGTTTCCACACCGCACCAGTTACTCATTTGACCAAGGGGAGGCCCAAGACCGGTTCAGATAATCGTCACTTGAGTTGGCCGTAAGTGGGAATCGAACTTCGGTCGCCGGGTTCCACATACACGTGAACACACACACACACACACGTGAACATACACACACACACACGTGAACATACACACACGTGAAAAACACACACACGTGATCATACATACACACTCAGACATACACACACTCACACATGTGAACATATACACACACTCACACACGTGAACATACACACACTCGCTCACACAACAACAACAACCGCCATTCGCCACTAAGTGGCGGTGACGTCACCACGACGCTTGTGCCAGGCCATGTGCACCTTGAGGCCACGTGAAGTGTCGAACGCCCCCTGGCAGGAGGTCACGGGGCAGACCCAGGTGCCGCGGGTCGACTGACTGAGATGACCGAGATGACTGGCTGATGCACCACCTGTGCCCCCTACTGTGCCAACTTGCTGTGCTTTAGCCACCCGGCGCTCCTCTCGTTGTTGTGAGCGTCGCTCCTCCACCCTCGGGCGACTGCCTTCACCTGCCCAGTAGCGTCCTTCACGAGCCTCCTCCACAGAGGCCGATCTTGACACCGCTGGTACCAGTCATCGGCAAGTCCACTCAGCTCCACGTCCTCCTTACCACATCACTCTATCTCTTCTCTAGCCCGTGCCGCGCCCGTTTAGCCCCCTCGATCCGACCGAACAAAGCTGTTTCGGCATGCGGTGGCTGGGAATGCGGGCTACATGACCCAGCCAACGCAGCCTTGCCTGCCGGAGGAGCTCACCGATGGGACTTTGCCCAGATCTTTCAAGGATTTGTGAGTTCCTCACAAAATCCAGCCTGGTTAAACCCAGGATGGATCGTAGGCAGGCCAGCCTAAATGTTTCCAACCGGCGAAGATGCTCCATTAGGGGGGTCGTGAACACACACACACACGTGAACATACACGCACACGTGATCATACATACACAATCACACACTCACACATGTGAACACATACACACTCAAACATGTGAACACCCCTGAACACATGTGAACACGTACACAAATACAAATATCCCCCGTATAGCCTTAAGAAGACTTTTGGGGCAAGTGCTGTTAGCGAGCACCTATGAAGGCCGGCACGGCACACGAGGGGGTGGGTGGGCAGAACCACGCCTGGCCGCCTTTGTCTCCCCAGTGGCGATGTTTACTCCACACCACACCAGGTTCACACAATCGCCACTGGCGCTGGTGGCCGCGGGCGGGGATTGAACTCGGGTGGCCGGGTTCGCAGCGCACTAACCGTTGCACTACCGCTCCTCCCCCCACACACACGCACTCACATACACAAACACTCACACACACAGACACACACACACAGACACATACACAGACATACATACAGGCACTCACTCAGACACACACACACAGACACACACAGGCACACACTCACACAGACACACACTCACACAGATACATACTCACACACACACACTCACACAGACACACACCCACACACACACAGACACACACTCACACACACAAACAGACACACACACACAGACACACACACAGACACTCACAAACAGACACTCACACAGACACACACACAGACACACAGACACACACACACAGACACACACACACACAGACACACACACACAAGCACACACATACAGACACACACATAGACACACACACACAGACACAGACACACACACAGACACACACACACACAAACACACACACAGACACACACACACACAGACACACAGACACACACACAGACACACACACACACAAACACAGACACACACACACAGACACACACACACAGACACACACACAAAGACACAAACGCAGACAGACACACACAGACACACACAGACACACAGACACACAGACACACACACAGACACACACACACAAGCACACACATACAGACACACACATAGACACACACACATAGGCACACACACAGACACACACTCACACACAGACACACACACAGACCCACACACACAGACACACACACTCACACACAGACCCACACACACAGACACACACACAGACCCACACCTGTACCAGGTTCACCTGCGCTTCGCGTGGGGGGCAGTGGGGGTCTCGGTCAGCTCTTGTGATACCGCCAAGTGTGGGGGGCTCCAATTTATTCATTAGCACGGCGGGGGGCGGGGGGGTGGGGGGCATGGGGGTGATCCTCCCACCCACACCCCCCTCTCACCACCCCCCATCCCCTCGGGAGGGGGCGGGGGGAGGCGAGGTGCCGTGCCAATTAACTCCGCTTATTATATCCGGAAAGGAACTGCGAGGCTTGGGGGTGTTTGCTGGACGCGATGACGCCGTCGAGGGAGGAGTGGAGGAGGCGGGCGTGGGTGGAGGGGGGTCGTTTTGCTTTTTGTGTTGTTTTCTTTTTGTGCCGAGATGAGCAAAATTTTGAACGCTGGGGAGGTCGGAGGCGGAGACGACCCGCGTCTATGTGCGCCTACGGCGCACATAGACGCGGCAGCAGCAGCAGTAGCAGCAGCAGAGCTGGGGAGACAAAGGCGGCCGGCTATTGTGTGCTGACCATACTCAACCTCCTCGTGCGTCGTTTCCGGCCTGAGTGGCGGGCTACCTTAATAGGTGCTCACTAACAGCCCCTTACAATGGACTGACGTGAGTTACTGGAGGAAGGGCCTTTGCTATTGATGCCCCCAGGGTCTGGAATGTTGTTGCCAATAAATTGAAACTTGAGTCACTACCTATGAGATCTTCACTCAAACTGCTCTAGAGGAGTTGTACACCCCTAGCTGCCACTGCTATTCAGTAGCCTAAAATACAATGTTTTGCTCCAGATGATCGCTGCAAAGTATGACCTGTGTTTTGATCTAGTGTGCTGATCTTAAAGGTGCATTTAAAATGTATAATACTCCGATTGATGCTCCTGCTGTTGTGGAGTGACTCATGCAGCCAGCTATGGCTGCAGGGTTTTGGTAGTACATGTTGTTTATGCCATTTATCGTGAAAATTCCGTCACAGTTCCTATGATCACTGTTTCATTGCTTTCATGGCTTTATTTTGGTGATTTCTAAAAGTGTATTGGTTTAGCCATGTTTGTTTGTTGTAGTATAGTTAGACTGATGGCCTTAATCTAAGTTGTCTTGTGGTTGTTGTTGGTTGTTTGACTTGCATCCCAATGGAATGTTTGCACACAGCGTTGGTGTACGGTGCTTTTTCTGCAATATTTTGCTGTCTTTTCTTGGATTTTCTGTTTGCACTCAGTCACATATTCATTTTAAGATGTTTTTTTGTTAATGTTTTGTTTTTTGTTTGTTGCGGTTGCACCAGATTCAAGAGCCGAATGGCTCACAGGGCAATACCTAATACATGTGAAGTATTCGGAATGACGGCAGGAAACCACTTGACGGGTAGCACACTTTTTATTAAACCTTGACTTGTCACGATACAACGTGTGGTCACTATTCCTCACACTACACACACTTCACTTGACACGTGTGGTCACTATTCCTCACACTACACACACTTCACTTGACACGTGTGGTCACTACCTTTCCCACTACACACTCCACTTGACACGTGTAGTTACTATGGCTCACGCTGCATGCTCACATTGCATGCTCACACTGCACTCCAGCCCCGTAACGTCCGTGGAGCCTCCAGGCCCACCCCAGCTTGGGCG